TCATTATCTAACTGGGCTTGCATTAAAAATTGTTTAACTGCGGCAGTCACTTTGTCGGGTATGAACTGCAAACATAGGGGAATTCTAGTTTAAATATGGTTGCTTTCGTTTAGGCTTTCGCTTTAGAGATTTCGATTGCAGTAATTAGCCATTGCTGGATACTATGTTAGATGCCATTTTCAAAGGCTCCAGTCTCTCACTTTCACCGCTACAAACATTGACTGCCGTTCTATACATGTAACGAATAATCGCGCGTTTCATGGGAGTTGGATGAGCGGATTTGGCATGTAGAATGATGTTTTTGCAGCTCTTACGTGGCTAACGGAACAGTACACGTAAGAGCTGCAAAAACATCATTCTACACGCCAAATCCGCTCATTCAACTGCCATGAAACGCGCGATTATTCGTTACATTTATAAAAAGGCAGTCAGTGTTTGTAGCGGCGAAAATGAGAGACGGGAGTCTTTGAAAATGGCATCTAACATAGTATCCAGCAAGGGCTAATTACTGCAATCGAAACCTTCAAAGCGAAAACCTATGAACGAAAGCAACCATATCCAAACTAGGATTCCCATATGTTTGCCGTTCATATCCGACAAAGTGACTCCCGCAGTTAAACAATGTTTAGTGCAAGCCCAGTTAGAAAATGATGTTGCTTTCATGAACATTCCGTCGCACAACATCACAAAACAGCTTGTCCGCAATAGGTTGTGTGATAGGGCTTGCATCTCGCAAAACTGTGTAGTTTGTCCTAATGGAAAACCGGGAGATTACTCCAAGTGCGGAGTAGTCTTCCAGTTGGAGTGTGTAGATTGCCATGATATGTACATAGCGAGACCGGTCGACAACTTTCCGTACGTGTAAATGAACATCTAGCTAGTAAAAGACGGCAAAGTCTCATGAGTCCGTTAGGGAAGCACAGAAAGGAAGTCCACAATGAAGACGATTTTGATATTAAATGCATTATCCTGGCGTTTAAAGAGCATGTTTCTGCTCGGAAAGCATTGGATGCTTCCATTCTTGCGCGTAACCCCGAAATAAACATCAAGAACGAGCAATTGTCTATAACGAATGATTTATGGCCATTCTTAACATTCTGTGAGCTATGAGATTGTCCACCACTACTTAAGCGGTTCAAGCCCTCTGCAGCACTCAGTTTATCATCTGTGGACATTTGGAAAGTGAGCTAGCATCTACTAAGCTTTGTGAAACACTGGTGAGTCAACACGTCAGCTTTGACCTAGCCGCAAC